AATCTTGAAAATTTTTTCGTCAAACCACGGGCGAAGGTAACCGACATTCCGGATGACATTTTCATCTGAAACATCAGTCGACTTTTATCGAAGTACATGGTATTATATCCCAGAAGATAGGATTCTTCATAGTCATCCCTGTGCGAACCTTAAATCCAGCATGTTGCTTGAAGTTTCTACTTGACTGCAATGTTTATGTTCTCTCTATTATATCCCAAGCCGTGCTGATGTCCACGCTGGTATCCGAAATTCCCAAAACTCTTTGAAATTTTAACCTAATATAATTCTCTAACTTCCTTAGTTTCTTAGTTTACATTCTCATAAGTATTCTGTTGGTTACTGACTTGGTGATAGTCTCTCGCAAAATTTTGGAATCACCAAATAGTAATCAGCAGGGCCCGGATTTTGATGACCTGAAAATTTAAAAAATACCGAAAAAATCCTGAAAAATGACCTAAAATATGACCCAAAAATGTAATATGCAAGGCCCGGATTTTGATGAACTGAAAATATATAAAAAAAACTGACCTGTACAATGACCGAAAAAATCCAGAAAAATGACCTAAAGGAGAAAAGAAAGAACACTTCGCTTCCATGTTATTCACATTTCAGAAAACATATGAAGAAAAATTCCCTAAAATTGCCAAAAATGACAAGAAATACCCTTAAAAGTCCAAATATTTACCAAAAAATTACCTACAAAATTTACATTTCTGTAACCAGCAGCTCATATCCGAGATTTATATATTTAAGAGCATCCCATAGGATACAAGGAAAAAAAAGATGACATGTCATCAAAATCCGGGCTCTGGTAATCAGTATCATAGTCTCCTTCTCTGAAAGATCGGACATCAAGTATACTTGAATGCCATCATCTATCATGACATGATTAATCGACTGTACCCCGTCTTCCTATCAGGAGAAGTCCAAGTGTGTTTATGAATCTTGCGATGCGAGAACAGTGCACTCTGACCATTAAATTCTCGGATGAGTCAAAGTTTATATTACTTTAAAGTCAATTTCGTTAATAGTTCCGTGCAAAACTCTAGTTGCCAGTCATCTTTTGTGTTCGCATTTTCATTGGAAACACAGACAAACGCTTCCATGCTGCTCGTAGGGAAGTTCCAGATCTTCATATGGCTGTCATCTGCATCACTTCTTCCATCCTCAGCTGTGACATGCGCATTCAGAATAAGAATATCACCCTCGAGGTCCTGTCACTAATAAACTCTGTATTTTGTAGCGTTTCGTTATGTGTCACATGTACTTCACCCATTAATGTCTTTCGAACCAGATGATGGATTTCATTACACTTCATACGGACGTCATGACATTAATATGAGTTATCCTCATCTTCCTACTTTTTCTAATTTCCTGTCTTCATAATGCGAACAGAGCCGCCATATAAAATTCTTTAGTGGGAGCGAAATGGGTGCTATTTAATTTTGTATGAAGATACATCTACGGATAGTAGACTATAAATTTCTATTGCAGTCATTTTTCGCAACGGCTATGTATGCTTGACCTTCCCTTTGAGAGACACTTGCAGGCTATTGCATCATTGCAGAAGGCGTATCATATTGGATTTTGAAAGTACGTTGTTTATTTAATGAAGCTGTCTGTATCTCGGATTATAACAAAGCCAAACGGTAGGATGATTTGTGAATAATGAATTTTAAAGTACTTGGAAGGAAGCGGTTGTGGTCTGATTGAGGTGCTATCCAGATTTTCCGGGAGGGACTGAGGAAAATCTCGAACGACTTTTTTAGCTGATTTTTTTTTTCATTTCTTTGGGTGGGGTGTGAGTCCAATTGGTACGTCGGCCACTATTTGACCTATTGTGCCAGCCCCGGATGATGATGATGATGATGATGTGTGTGTGGAGCAGTCCGTGGAATGAGAATTTGCAGGGAAAACTGAAATACTTGGAGAAAACCTACCCCACTGCCACTTTGTCCACCACAAAACCCACCTAGACTGGGATTGAACCCAGGACGCCGCGGTTGGAAGCCAACAACTAACCGTCTGAGCTATGACACAGCCCTTTGAAAGACCTTAGCATAGCTGGTGTACTGGCTAGTGTTTCTAACAGTGCATTTCACAAATCCAAGTACAGGGTGTAGCGGGCTGCTCGACTTGCATATGGACATAGATAAATGAAAGAATAAGTTGTGATGTGTATGTGGGAGATACAGATTTTAAGGAAGTTGTATGGACCAGTAACCGAACAAAAGATTTGGAGAAACAGAACCAGCCAAAAACTGAAGAAATTGTTTAAACACCATGATCTGGTAGCGGATATTGAAAAAAAGAAGTCTGAAGTGTTTGGGGGATGTGATTAGATTGGGTATAATAAGGGCAGCTAAGAAGATTTATGAAACTAAGCAGAAGGTAGAACAAAAGTGGTGAAGTTCCAGAATGAGATGGCTGGAATATGGAGAAAATGATTTATGAAGAGACGCAGACGAAAAACAAATAGAAAAAATGGGAATCTGCCGTAAAGGAGGTCAAGGTTGAAAAAAGTCGTCTTCTGGGTTTAGGCACCGTGTATTCTTCGTTTTGGCCGACGTTTCGGAGGAACGTAGTGCCTCCATCTTCAGAGCAGTTGAATGGCTTGGAATGCGGAGAGCAGTAGCTCAGTAGTTACTGCTCTCCGCATTCCAAGCCATTCAAATGCTCTGAAGATGGAGGCGCTACGTTCCTCCGAAACGTCGGCCAAAACGAAGAATACACGGTGCCTAAACCCAGAAGACGACTTTCTTCATTGTCATCGCCGTGAAAACCTCAAAACTTACGAGGTCAAGGTTGTTTAAAGGACCTTGCAGCCAATGAACAAGCAATCAAGTATGACTGTGAACTACCTACAAATATTTGTATGAAAAACAAGGTAAAGGGGCCGAAACTTGGTTGTTATGAGCGCTACAATTTTCATGCAGTGCAAATCGATATCAGTAGAGTAAAGAAACCCTATTTCTGATAGCACGGGTTTTCACGAAGTATGGGTAGCACTGCGACGGTGATGACCACAGGACTTTATTCCTCCTACCGGACCAATTTCCCACAGCAGTGTTGCTTTACCATCAGTGTATGGTTTCTGCGGATTCTGATGTATTTGCGCTTACAGAGCTAAGGTTTCAAAACCATACATGAGTTCTAATTCGCACAATGTTTATATGAGCTTATGGCCACCCTGTGAGGACAGGAGCCGTTGAACATCAGAGTTGAGGAATCTACATTGTTGGGAGCCGTAATCTAGAAACTGTTATTGAAGACAAACTGAGAAGAGTTATTGTGTGGTGTAGTGAAAAGTGGAGTGCGTGAATTAGCGAGAGCGTTATAATTACTTGTAGTTACGATTTGTAAGAATTAAATAAATCCAGTTACCAAACCAAATCCCGTGTCTAGTCACTAACATGTGACAATATCTACAATATGCCCCGTCACATACCGGAAAACAGTAACCTCCATAGACACCACCATGAGAAATTCAAATCTTACAAGCAAATGTAATGTTCTTAGAGGGAAAACTGTACGCAACTGTACGTAAGCCTATATTCCGATGCCCTTTTATTTCCTAAACAAAAATTAAATACATCACAGACATTCTCGACGTCCCCTCATGATTCCACACAGCATTAAACACTGCCGGAGAGGAGAGGAGAGAATGTAAATATAAAGTTATCTTTGTGCTTAATTAAAAGAAAGCCATGAAGACGTGTGGTGGACTAGAGGTATGGCTCCACGCGTTCTTAATTTCGGCACCAGATAGAACTGAGTGGTCTAGTTCTTACGATTGAAAGTACGTCTCACTTCCTGAGAAGACAGCATTGTCTGGTCAGCGGTACACAATTTGTTTACTGTAGCAAATGTAAGTTGGCCTACGTTCAAGTTTGTATGGAGACAAAACTTTACTTTCATTGACACAGTTACGTAACATGCGCACATAATAAAATTATTTCTTAAGAAGAAGAAGATTGATGGAGGCCTTTAAGGAGCAATTATATTGCATTAAGAAAACCACACTTTAATACAATTTATGCATTTGAATTTTTAACTTGATATAATACCAAGGTTGGATTTGAGGGTCTTCTGGAATGTAAAGTCGTGTAGTCCCGTAGAAGCACACAGACTTTCGGAGGACGTTACTGTCTTCGTCTTCAGCGTCGTAGAATAAGCTAAGCAAGAATCCAGTAAGAATCTGGCAGCAAGTAGAGATTGCTTGCTGCTCGTTTCTTGTTTTGCTTACTCTTCGACCCTGACTCTGGAGGCAATAGAGTTATCCGAAATGTTGGTGGGCTTCTACCGAACTACATGGTATGGAAAATAGTGTTCTTAACATAAAAGTAATATTGGATTAAATCTTACATAATTACGAATTACAGATTGGCTTTAAATATATTTTATAGGTTTCATGAGTACTTTAGAAGTAACTGAGCTTTAAAACATTTCCCTCATCAGCATGGGCCTACAAGAAGACAACTCAATAAATTATGCCAACATACGATGCTCATACTTTTTCATATTTTTGTTCGTGTCTAGAGGGAAAGAATGATTCATTTTGTTACTTTTCAGTCGTATAGGCCATGGAATCTTATCAAGACTGTACTTTTTATGAAAGATCAGACTCGAAAGTCGTAAGAGCAGTGCTCGACTAAATTACTTTGTATTTGAACTTTACATGACCATACTCTACAATATTCAGCTGCAAGATTCGTCTGCTTGGAGAATAGCTGCGTTGGATGTAAACACAGATTAAAAAAAGAGCATATAAATAAATTTTTAACAGTTTAGACGCTTGAAGAGAACAGATAAATGACGTCCCTTACTCCTCACCCCATTCTCAACAAAGAACAGTTTCTTTCAGAACCAATATTTCTATTCTACTGTATCTAGTCAAATGTTGCTCACTAATACGCAGGGGAACAATGTAAGTATGTGACCTCGAGGCTGTAACACACAATAGATATTAACCTAATAATAAAATTCAGGCGGTCCCATACCTTTCATCTTTGGCTCCAATAATACTGCATCAAATCGTGAAGAGCTTACTGTTCTGTTCGAAATTAGCTCTGAAATCCGGGCGCGCACATATACACACACATACACTCACAATTCTGCTTTTAGGTTAAAGCTAGTATTCACAACTTCAGTCTTCAACTTCACAACTTCGAGACTTCTGAATGCCAATCATTACAACAATATCTGCTCATCTGTGAACAGTAGTATTACGTAGAAGTTCTGTCCTTCTTCTAACGTAAAACATGTTCCTTATGATTGCAAGGAATACACACGAACAACACACTGCTCCACACGCTTGACGAAAACTACGCATAATGCAATAATCCACCTGCACTGTTTTCTGACGTTGCATGCTGGGTAATCAGAGAATATAAGTGGAGAGAAGAGATATAGATACTTGATCTGTCATACACGGCAACTGTGTCTCTCTCTCTCTCACACATACACATACAGAGGTATAATGGGGCCAGGAAATAGAGGTCGCATGGTTGGTGGGACTGACGGGGATCGAGGCTTTTTAACATATTTAAGATATTTCATCTTTCTGTCTAATGTGTATCCCTATCCAGCCTCCTACGGCCTATGTGAGCAAGTCCAAAACACTCGTGCGTTGCGAAAATTTTACATAGTATCGCTACCAAATTGACCGCCTCTGTAGTCTAGTGGTCAGAGTTCCTGCCTACAGATTCAGAGATCCCGGGTTCGATTCCCGGTGCTACCATGTTTCCTGAGAAGTTCTGAGTCTGGAAAGGGGACCACTCAGCCTCGTGAGGATAATTGAGGAGCTATTTCTATGAAATAGCGGCTCCGGTCTAGAAAATCGAGATTAACGCCAGTGGAGATCCGTTGGGCTGACCACGCTACACCCTCTATCCACAAAAGTTGGCACTAACTTCGTCGACAAGCTATGGTCGCAAGGTCGATATAGTTCGGAGTTTATCGCTACCAAATTCGTGTAAACAGAAGGGTTAGACGACTGGAGGAGAATACATGAAACTACGCTGGAGGGGAAGTGTAACAGCTCGGAAGAAATGTGGAGAAGGTGGATCCATGGAACTTCTTTCTGTGATCTGCTTATGAACAAACCTCTGCTTCTCTATGTTGTGGGTGGAGAATTTTTTTATTTTGTTGTGTTTGTAATTTATTTAGCGGCGCTGTCTCTAACTCAGACGATATATCGTCGACTGGTTGGATGACAGTCAATAATGAATTGGAAAGGACCTGCAAAGAAGCGGTCGTGGCCTAATTGTAAGGCGCTCTCCTGGAATTTGACTGGAGGCACTGAGGAAACTTGCGAAAACCCCAGTGAGAATAGTCAGTTTTCGGACGAGATTCGAACCGAGAGCCTCCCGAATACAAATCAGAAGCATGTTTGTCTTCCAGAGAAGAAAGTAGACTTGTGGGATCACCGTGCTGCCTGTGTGTTTGTACGCCTCATACTGAAAAGAGTTAACCAACGTTCATAAAATCTAGTATTGCCGTTATGCTATTAAAATCCACCCCAGCGTCACAGAATTTAATTCCCTGCAATCAGTAGTAACAGTCTGCCGCAAGCACGAAATTTGGAGCTACAATAGCGCCACATAATTTAGGGTCCTAAAAGGTCGCGCCATAGCTCAAGCGGTTAGTCGCTGGCATCCCACCACGGCGGCCCAGGTTCGATCCCGGGTCTGGTCAAGTGGGATTTGTGGTGGACAAATTGGCGCTGGGGCAGGTTTTCTCCGAGTACTTCGGTTTCCCCTGCCAATCTTCATTCCACCAATTCCTCCACAATCACCTATCATCTGAGGCTGATACAATAGGCCTGAAGTGGCCGCAGTACAAGGGACTTAGTCCCACCCCACTAGCAATAAAAGAGGGTCCTAAAATAATATATATACGAGTATATATATATGTGTGTGTGTGTGTGCGTGTGTGTGTGTGTGTGTGTGTGAATTAGCCTTTGAGAAAGACAGAACCATTATAAAGGCCTTTTTTGATAGAGTATTTGTAGCAATACGGCTGCCTTTTAAAAATTCTCTTTAGCTTTCGACTTTGTTGAGATAACAAATGAATCATTCAATTATTCAATTTTGTACGGAAATAAGCATGTCTGTACATTATGCATGGTACATTGCTTGAAAATCTACATTTATAAACATAAAAGGGAAACACTTTGAGATTGTGTCCGACAAATTGATAACAACAGTCAATAAGTAATAAGCACTTAATAATAAGTAATTAAAGCTATCCATGTAACAGGCCATGAAGGCCCATAGGGTTGTGAGACGTTGAGGGTCCCACATTATCTAGGCAATCGGCTCAAAGATGGCGGTAAAGTTGTCAGCCTTACGCGCCGGCCGCGCTTTACTCCCCAGGAAAATTATTTATTTAATTCCTGGTTAATAATAATAATAATAATAATAATAATAATAATGTGACATGTTGACCCCTACCTCCCCAGCGGTTACGTAGCGCTCGCGTAATAGGCGAGTAATCACCCCGCATCCTGGTAGATATGCAACGCGCAACGCGCGGTGACGTCACGAGCGGAGCCGAAGTGAGCCGAGCGGAGCCGACGT